GGCGCCCTGCCCGCCCACCTGCCGTGCACCCCCTGCCTGCGCCTCGTCCCTTTTGCCCGCCGTGTTTGCTGCGCTCTGGGTTGCTCTTATATGCGAGGGGCTTTGCCTGCCATCGCTCTTGTCCCTGCCCACACTGCGTCAGAGCTGCTGCTCGTCAGGAGCTCGTGCTGCTGGCTCTGGGGGGCCTGGGGCACCCTCTCCCTGCACCTTTGCGGGTTTGCTGTGGGTTTGCCACTTTAGGAAGGGTCCCCTGGCACGATCCTCCACTCCAGAGCTTCAGTGGCCTTTACTTATGTAAGGGAACTTTTCCCAAAGAAAACCATGGGAAATGGAAAAAACAAAGCCTGCCATAGTTACGTATTGGTTAAAATATTTCATTACACCTGTGTAAAGAGAAAAGGACAACAAAGGCAAAGGCGACAGTCACAACAAAAACAAAAACCACTTAGGAATCCAGGCGAGATTTCTTCTCCTTCTTGCTGATATGACTCCCTTTTCTTTTCTGCGCAGTAGATTCATTGCTGGTACTTGTTTCTCCCTGGTTTATTTTCTCTTCCAAAGGCTTGGAAGCCTGTGATAACACAAGAAATAAAAGTAACAGCTGTGAATAATTGAGTTTGACAGCCATTAGCAGCGCTGCGCATTCCCAGCTCTGTGTGCGTACACCTCGGAATGCCCTGCACTCCATGAAGATCAGAACTGACCATGCTTCCAGCTTTATGCAGTGACCCTCAATTATCCTGCTCCTACTGCTGGAAATTTTAGGAAGGGGGGACAAGAGGAGAGCAGGATAACGACTGAGCCTAGAAGTGCCACATACGCATATGAACCAGGTCTCTTTGAGGCTAAGCATGTTGCTGTAAAGGTCTCTGCACCCCAAGCCCTTTTATCAACCCACACAATTAAGGTGCAAACGTGTTCAGAGCTGGAGTAGTGAGCACGACCCCTGGGTCTTTGATGTAGAAGACATCTCCCTCTTGGAAAGGATGTTGTCCGATTCAGGTGCGGGGAGGGAAAGCACCCAGGTAAGGGAGAAAGCCCAAGCATAACTGATTTTTGGGAACAGATTTTGATCTGCTTAAGTGCAATTAATTTTTATGCGACTCCTGTGAGAGAAGTCAGGGTGCAGAACGGAGGCAGGAGGAGAGGAAGGGTGACAGCAGGAAGGCTGCACTCCACCGGGGATTAGGCTGAGCAGGTAGAGAACAGGCATATCTGAGCGTAAGGCACAGCCACAGCAGAACATGGAATGCGGAAGGAACAGAGCTGAGAAAGAAAAAGGGCTGCAGGATCCCTGGGGAAGGGTTTTGTCAGGCTTCAGTCTTACTTGTCCTTTCTTCTTCTTGAAAAGCACTGCAATTATTTGTGAATGAACACATTTATTTGGAGGGAGCACATCTAATCATCTTCAAAAAGTATAATGAAATTAAATTTATACCCAAAACACAGAACAAGAGGAGGAAAGAAAGCAAGCTGCCAGAGACAGCTACCCAAAGAGACCACAAAAGGCAAATTGAGACAAGAAAGACTGTTCACTAAGAGTAAGCTACACTCGGCTGAGAAAGCAGAACATGTTTCTTACCCTTGTCTGCTGGCTTGCGTATTTCTCAGTCCATTCTTTGGCATTTAGCAAGAACAGTTGCTTGTTGTACTTGTACTCCGAGGACTAAATGTAACAAGCGAGACAAAGATATTTGATTTAACACAAACCTCACACTGAGAAGCTAAGGGACTAAGGTCTGGCTTTAGGACTCCTAGAACCAGAGCAAAACCACTACAAGCATGAGGCATGAAGCATAAAATTCAGTTTGACTGCTTTTGTTTGCTTGAAGAATGCACACTGCTGTTTGCACTAGCAGGCTTGAAGACAAGACCTGTACCAGATCTTTTCTGCTGCTGGCATAAACCCTGTACCACACACCCCAGCTGCTTCAGGGAAACACAGTCATGTCCCCAGGCCTGATCCAGATCCAGCTACGCTGCTACGTAAGGTGCTAGCATGTTAATCCAGAGCGAGTGAAGCGGAAGCACAGCCTAAATCTAACGCACCCTTCCTTCCCAGTCTGTGCCCATGGCCTCAAGAGAGGAAGAGGAGCTCACGTACTATGTCTGCCATGAGAGGGTCATCAGGGTTGGGCTCCGCCATCAGCAGCTGTATGGAGGTCAGCAGCGTGGAGATGTTCAAGGAAGGCCTCCACGCACCCTGCAAGGAAACAGGCCGAGAAGAGCAGTTAAGCAGAAAGAAACCTACCCACGGGCTGCCTAGAGAAACCTCAGGACTTAACAACATCTAAACCTAACCTACCCACAGGCTATCTCAGGACTTGCAGCATTTCAACCCCCACGGAAAACACCAGAGACATTCTCAACACACAGGCTGTGGCCACTCTGAGGAAGCCTGACCAAGAGCCACAGGCTGTATCCCACGCACCTCTGCTGGGTCACAGGGCCACCTAATGCCTTTTGACTCCAATCCTTAAAACCTCAGAAACTTATATGGAACAAAGGTGGTCATGTTCTAGTCTCCAAACAAAGGAGACGCTGCCCAGAATCTTCACTCCCATGCTCCTGTGCAAATAAGTCAGTAGCAAACAGACATTCAATAAGGCTTTTACAAGAAAAAGATAAGGAGTCCATGATCCTCTTCAGGCTCACTTACCCATGCCCAAGTAGAGCTATCTTACCTTTGGTGGCAATTTGAGAACATCCAGGCAAATCCTTCCAGCAGAGTCAATGTTAGGATGATAGATGGGGGTCAGAAAGCGAATCTTCGGGGGCTCAAACGGGTACCTTTAAGGGATAAGTGTTAAGAAACAACAACAACAAAAATTGTACACCAGTCACTTTATCACCTAAGCCATGCCATCATTTCCTCCTCCCAGCCA